GTCTGTAACTTCAGTTCCATGGGATCCCAGTGCCCTTTTCTGGCTTCCTTAGGCACTGCACATACACGGTCCTCAATAATGCAGACAAAATACCCGTGGCATTCTAGAAGAACCTCCTGTGTCTGTCAGCACGTGTATGTTGCACACACATGAACACACTGAACCCTGGTGAAGCTGCTGCATGTATGTGCGATTAACCTCCTGGACCGTGGTTTTCTCATCTGTTGCAGAGACGACTGCATTTTGCTTGTGACAGGGCTGCAAATAAGGATTAAATCGATTTTATATGTACTTGTACTCAAAATAGTACCTATTAATAGTCAAGCAACGTTAGCCAATTATTTTCCATCATTGTTAAAAAGAGATGCCAAGCCATGGAGCAGAAGCCAGAAACTGCAGCAGTCAGTGAGGACAGCAATTCAGAGCTGAGGCAGCTTTGCTGCCTGAGACCAAGAGAAGGAAAAGGGGGGACGTGGATGATGCCCCTGCTCTGGAAGCATTTACAGAGAACTCCAGGCTGTCGCTGTTTGCCTCTGTAGACCACAAACCCGGAGAGCCAGTGAGACCGATTGTGAGGACTTTCATAGGCTGAAAATTTTTTCCTGAGGCTTTGGGAGGAACTGACCAGAAAAATACCTTAGAAAAGGAAATAAAGAGGCTCTGGAGGAAACAGGGCTGCCTCCATGATCTCTTGTGACCGTCCACTCCTCTCCAACACTTCTAAGTCCTTCTTCAAGGACCTGACTTCTTCTTCTTCTTCTTTTTTTTTTTTTTTTTTTTGGTTTTTCGAGACAGGGTTTCTCTGTGGTTTTGGAGCCTGTCCTGGAACTAGCTCTGTAGACCAGGCTGGTCTCGAACTCACAGAGATCCGCTTGCCTCTGCCTCCCAAGTGCTGGGTTTAAAGGCGTGCGCCACCACTGCCCGGTAAGGACCTGACTTCTTTCTCAGGAATCCATACATGGACATTCAACTCCAGGGCAGTCTTTTGGCCAAAATGAACCATTCTTTCTGTCAATAATTCAGAAATCCATGTGACAGATGTTGGACCAGCTCAAGATATGGAGGCTTGAAGCACACACAGTGGCTCACAGCCATCTGTACTGAGACCTGGTATGCTACGCAGGTATACAGGCACACATACCAGCAGAACCCTGTATACATAAGAAACAAATCTTAAAAGACTAAAGAGTAAAATTGATAGAAACCTGGAAGAAATTATGTAGAGAATAATGTTCCCTTTTTTCCTGGGAGAAAGTATGTTGCAGTCTTGGAATGGTTGTTGGCTTCGTTGAGATGGGTCTCATTTCTCATTCTGTGGCCCAGGCCAGCTGAGAGCTCACAGCATCCCAAGTGTGTATATCTGTGTATCATGAGCATGCCTGATACCCATAGGCAGGTGAATTTCTGTAAGTTCATGGCCAGCCTGGTCTACACAGTGAGTTCCAGAACAGCCAGAGCTACAGAGAGAAATGCTGTATTGAAAAATAAATAAATAAAAGCACTTGTTGCTCTTGCAGAAGATCTGGATTCAGTTCCCAGCACCCACGAGGTGGTTCACACCCATTGATAACCTACCTGCCTCTGCCTCCTAAGTGCTGGAATTAAATGTGTGCACCACCACCACCTGGAGCAATAAATGCTCTTAAATGCTAAGCCATCTTTCTACCCCAACACCCAGTCCTTACAAAAAAAATTAGCTGGGCATCATGACATACACTTTTAATTCCAGCAGAGGCAGGAGGATTTCTGTGAATTTAAGGCCAGTCTATTCTGCACAGTGAGTTTCAGGACAGCCAGAGTTACACAGTGCATCCCAGAAAAAAAAAGATAGATTTCGTCCAACTGTCATTTCCAGATTCAGGAAGCTGAGGTGGGGATTGCGGTGAGCTAGAGCCCAACGTGGAATACAGAGCAAGACCGTCTTAAAACTACAAAAACCAACAGCTTGCCGGGCGATGGTGGCGCACGCCTTTAATCCCAGCACTCGGGAGGCAGAGGCAGGCGGATCTCTGTGAGTTCGAGACCAGCCTGGTCTACAGAGCTAGTTCCAGGACAGGCTCCAAAAGCTACAGAGAAACCCTGTCTCGAAAAACAAACAAACAAACAAACAAAACAAAACAAAAAAAACCCCAACAGCTTCTGCTGCTCTACTTTCTCTTTCCTCGTGGGCACAGTTTCACACAGCCCTAGGGACCATGAAAATCCCTATGAAAACCCCGCAGTCGGGAAGTGGAGGCAGGAGCACTGAAGGTGACGCCACCCTAGTCTAAAAGTCAAACAACCAAGGACAAAGGGTGGATCATTCCATGCTCCTGACTTGGGAAGGCAGAAAAGCCCACAGCCGCTCTCCAGGGTGTCTCCATCCAGAGTATTGCACGAATTGCTCCTGCTTCTTCAGAGCACCTGGGGCTTGGTCCGTGTGCACTTATTAGTGTAATGTTTGGTTAATTCTTATATCCTGCCTCCAAATAGGATTCTTGCTATTAATGGCTCCTATCCCCAATGACATGTGGGTAAAAGTGTTGGGGCCAGAGATAGAAGAAGTCAAGGGTTCCCAACACTGCCGAAAAAAGAAAAAAATGAACGAGTGAACAGAACTGCTTGTAATATTTCTTTATTTTTTTGTTTGTTTTTTAGTTGTTTTAGTTTGGAGCTGGGGGACAATTTCATTAAGAGTTTAAGAGAAGGCGGGAGGTGGTAGCACATGACTTTAATCTCAGCACTCAGGAGGCAAAGTTAGAGGTCAGCCTGGTCTACAGAGTGAGTTCCAGGACAGCCAAAGCTAACAGAGGAATCCTGTCTCCAAAGAACAAACCAAAAAAGAGTTCTGCAGAGGGCCATGGGGGTATACAGCAGGTGACAACTACTGTTCAGCAGGTTGACCTACCGGATGAATGACTCTCTGATGGGGGAGCCCCACCTGGTAAGGTGGTAAGGTCACTGATTGTAAGTGACCAGTTGCTACTGGCTGGAATGTCTCCCTCATCTGTTTCCTAGTAACAGCCATGGGTATTTCCCACACTCGTGTGTTTATCTCATGACTATTGGGCACATATATAACTGTGGATGGTCAGGAAGGTGATTTCTGCTTAAAATTCATAATTCTGATGAATAGAAATACTATTATATTTTTCATTATTCAGATGGACATAAGAAAGTAATAATATTCTCAGTCACAAAAACAGTTAACTTTAGACTTCAGAACAAATTCAAAGCAATCTGGTTGCCCCTAGAGACAAACACATGAGGTCATTTCCCCAGGTCAGGCTTGAGGCATTTTGGCAGACATCACCCAGTAGTGGTGGTGTTTCTGCACGTACTTCCTACCACTCTGGGTCCAGCTAACTAACTGCCATTGTTAAGTCTTGAATTCCAGTGTCATTCTCTGTCTGGAACCCTTGCCAACTTAGAGCCACGTTACTCAATGGACGGTCAGTGTGACCGCCTCAGCCTGAAAAAAGCTGTGTGTCTTACCTTGTGTTACGAGATGGGTTGGGCCTGAAAATGCAACATAATTGTCCAGGGGTTGGCTGTGGGAGGAGCAGGATGCAGAGCTATGTGGAAGGCTGCTATGGAAAGAGCTGGGCAGAGGGGCGAGTGTGCGTGTGAGTGTGCATACATGTGAGTGTGTGTGCATGTGTGTTGAGCATGTGAGAGAGAAGTGTGTGTGTGAGAGAGAGAGCAAGCTGTGTGGAAGAGCTGCTGCTGCTTCGTGGAGGAGCTGTGCCGAGGTGCCGTGTGGTGAGAGAGCTGTGCCTAGGAGCCATGTAGAGTGCCGTGTGGTGAGAGAGCTGTGCCTAGGAGCCATGTAGAGTGCCGTGTGGTGAGAGAGCTGTGCCTAGGAGCCACGTAGGGTGCCGTGTGGTGAGAGCTGTGGAGATGAATTGCACAGTTGTGGCTGTGTGGAGGAGGATGAAGCTCTAGCTGCAGAGAAAAGAGATGCAGAAGAGAAATGTGTGTAAAAGAAAGATGTGTAGCCGTGTGAAGATGGATGTGTGTGTAGAGATGTATGGCATGCAGGAGAGAAATGTATGTATGTAAAGAGAGACATGTAGCTGTATGTAAAGAATGTAGCTTCATGGAGACAGAGAAGGGCAGACAGGATTGTTTAAGATGAAGTAAAAGAGAAAGTTCCCATCAGAAAGTGTGTTCCTTTATTTTCCCCTCAGATAGAAAAGTCGAGCCCTCGCTGCCTTTGTGGATTTTTTGCATTCCCTGGTGCTGGTTGGAGATTGCACTCTCCACCCCCAGTTAGCAATAGAGTTTTAAGAGAAAACCAACAGGGTAAGAAAACTGCAACCCATTCAGCTGGGAGGAGGGGTGACCATGCCTTTTGTGAACAGCCATGTGAGGCAAAGAGAAGTGGAATTCAGGGAACGAGAAAGCCCTGAGGGAAGGCAGGCACCGGCTCTGGAAAAAGACAGATGAAAAAGCAAAGGTACAGTTTCCAGAGATTAATTCAGAAGAGAGGCCAGGTTCTGCTGAGCTATGGCAAGGCTCAGTAAGCCACAGAAGTGGTTCATTTTGGAATAAATATCTTCCATTAAAGGGGCAGATTAGTTATCAGTACTAAAACTTAGCATCTCAGGGGCTGGAGAGATGGCTCAGAAGTTAAGGGTGCTCGTTTCTCTTGCAGAGGACCAGGTTTGGTTCCCAGCACCCATTTGGTAGTTTAACAACCACCTGTAACTCGTTCTAGGAGGAACTGACACCTTCCCAGCATATACTGCACAGACAGCGCACATACATGCATGTGGGCAAACACACGTAAAATAAATAAATCTAAAACAAGCAAAAAAAATTTTGCTCTCTCTCCTGGTGGCTGTGGCTTTACAAGTCACACCTATTTTACAGGCCTGTGTAGCTAGAGTGGCGGAACGGTTTCTCAGTCTCGCGAGAATCGCTGGCCAGGGCATCCTTTGGGTGCCTGAGTACTGTCGTCAATTCCAGTCCCCAGCTTAAGAAAAGCAGACTCAGCACTGTGCCTGTTTACTGTGAATCAGTCTTTATTCTGCACATGTGGCGCATCAACAAGTCAACATAGACGACAGCGTTACAGACTGCAGGTTAGCGTCACGGCGTTATGCAGTTCACACAGTTCATGTTAGCTTGTTCTGTTTTTTTTTTTTTTCTTTTTAATTTTATTTAGAGTTTTATTTTTACAAGAGAAGACACAAGGTAAAGAAAGACAACCTGTTTGGAGAGGGATTGTGGTGGTGAGGGTAATGTCACTGTCGTGACCAGTACTGAAAGTCTTCCATATCCCTCTCCTGGGTAGGTCACCCTGGTCCCACACAGCAGTTCTCTCTAGCACAGCACTGCAGATCGCGGCTGTGCGCTGCTGAGAACGCAAAGAAGGGAACTTTTGTTATTGGGAATAATTCTCATAGTCCCAAAGAGTCGAGAAATCTACGTCGACTGGCTGCTGGGAATCGGGAGTGACTTCCCTAACCTATTCCTAACCACAAGTGCCTTGTGCAAAACAGCTAAGACGTGACTCTCTTGTCTGTCTCTCAACTGAGCGGAAGGGGCAATCTGCCTCCGCCCACGTCAGTGAGCTCTGTGAAGAAACCCAAGTCAACTAAGAAGCTTTCGGACATGCTGGATCAGGCCTGAGGTAGGAGGAGGGATCCTGCACGGAGGCAGCCCCGAGCCTGGGGAAGGGATTGAGCTGCTGGGAGGTGGGGAACGGAGGAGGGGAAGGGAGGAGGGGAAGGGAGGAGGGGTGAGGCTGTTCCCCGACTTCTCAGGAGGAGCTACAGAGGCACACACAGCAAGTCGGAGACGACTCCACCTGTCACTTAGCATTGCTTCAGGGAAGGAACTAAAGCTGCTGAGTGACTTCTGATCTTTACACATTAAGGCGACGAAGAGGAACCATTTCGACTTTTTTCCCTAATGGGGCTTAGAATGCTCCCGCCAGGTTTTCGTTAAACTATGTCAAAATGCCTTTTTAGAAAACAAAAAGTATTGTCTCCTACATATGATACAGTATTTACATTCCATGGGTTAAAGGGCGGAGACTGTAGTGGTGTGATCCCAGCTGATGGCCAGACACTAAGTCATCACGGGATACAATGGTGGAGAAGGGCAAAGGCAAAGTGGGTCTCCCTGCCTACACAGGGCCGCTCTGCATTGCCAAGAATCCCGCAGGGGAAAAGCAAAGCAGACAAACAAAACAAAAAAATGAAAGGGTGAGTGGGGAGGGCAGAGTGGATTCAAATCTACAAGCACTAAGGGAACACCAAAGGCAGCGTCACCACCCTCGCCATGGAAACCAAGCTGGTCAGTCCACCTGTTCTCAGAAGCAAGCTGGAGAGTGGTCCTATAGGGAAGTGGGCACTTCAGTTACAGATAATCTTCCAGGCCCCGGATCAAGCTGTGTCTTATTTGGCTGAGGTCCTCCTCAGGCTCACCTTTCACTCCTGAGTCCCACGCAGAGATTTGGATCTGAGCTCCAGATGCCCAGGCTCTGCACTGTCCTGCCCAAGGGCAGAAAGGCGATGGACTTCACCGTGGGGTGTGACTCTCAGCTCTCCAGCCTTGTGCTTGCTGCTGAGGAGAGTGGGGGCCTCGAAGGCATCTACATTAGCTCACTATTCAGCCCCACTCAGCTTTCTTAAGAACCATTTCTGTAAACCTCAGAGAGAAAGTCCTGAGGCCTGCTTCCTTATCAAACAGAAAGCAACTTCCATCAGCATCTACAGCATAAGGGGATGCCAGAGCTTCTGCAGGGATATTTTATCTCCTCCCCACTGTCCCCTGACCTGCAAGTAGCACTCGGGATCAGATGGTACTTCCCTCGGGCCAAAGCTGAAGTCTCCAAAGCTTCCAGAGAAATCGGCAAGTCCTAAGTCCAGTTCTGCCTCCCAAGCCCGCCACGCTGCCTGTCACTAGTCACGGACTGCCTGTTACTCCTTTATGGTAAGTGGCTAACAGCAGACACCCCATTCTCAATTACTCTTTCTCCTGCAAAACCCACTTGTTCCTCTGCTTACTCCAGACTCTGGACTTGAAACTTGGCCAAAGAGTGGAGACCTGAGAGGTGATAGAAAAAAGGATGGAATGACAGGAACATGGGGTTTTACAAGAGTAGACTTTTCTTCTGCTATGATGGGAAACGGGAATAACCCAGAGAAGCCTGATAAAAGGAGGCCAATTTCAGGAGATCAGCAAATACAGTTCGGCACAAAACACAATTTTCATGGATTAAAATCTGCAACTTGATATCGGTTAGGCTAATTTCTTGTTTGTATTAGACATGCAAGTATAAGGTTACATTGTTATATATAGACTGTGGGGTCTTTCCTTCTCTCCCCCCCCATTTTAAAAACAAAAGATCGTCTAGTGCCTTGCAAAGAAGAAAAGACTTCTCAAGCTAAGAACCGACCTGCAATGGTGTGCAGTAAGATGCTCTTTGTGTGGTTTATCTTGTAAGAAATTTTCTTCTACGACTAAAATGAGGTTTTGAGTCAGCTTCTCTGTCATCTCTCCCCGCCGTGTGCCTCCCTAAGCCTGGCCCCAGGGTCGGAGGCGAGAAGGAACTAGTACTCGCTCAGACTGTGCCACTTGGCTACGGGCTTGCGGGGACTCTCACAGACCTCTCTCCAGTGTTCCGCACCACTGGCTGTGACACTGTGTGCCCCCAGGATCAGCCTCCCCACCACCTCGTTCTTAGTAGTGCGATCAAAGTCAATGACAAGGAACTCAATGCTGATCTCAGGCAGGAGGTCAGTGGGGATGTCATAGATGAAGGACTCATTGAAGACAGGATTCAAAGTGCACTTCTTGACATGCGTTTTCTTCTTGGCAATGCGCTTTCTGCCGTAGTAGACGTTCACCTTGACATAAGGATCTGGGGCCGCCAAAGAGAAGAAAAGAGAGACAGGCCTATGACACAGTTCTCTGCAGCATGTCGACCCTTCCGGGGTCCCATTAGTATTTACATAATGATTCATAACAGCAGCAAAGCCACAGTTATGAAGCAGCCATGGAATACTTGCATGGCTGGGGATCACCCTAACATGAGGACCCACGGGTTTAGAGGAGGACACTCTGTCGTCCGTATCTTTGCTGACAATCAGGGCATCAGTGGCTGCACCTGACATGTGTATACATGAGTCCAGCTGCTTCGGTCAGGGCTGGGGAAACCAAGCAGGTGTGGAGTAGACCATGTACAGGTCTGAAGAAATCAAGGGGATGGGGACAGATATTGGCAGTCTTTTTCACAAGTCTCACCTGGTGTAAGTGCTGCAGCATGCACGGGATTTAGAATACCCTCGTTGGCTCACCCCCAGCACCACAGTGGCTGGGGAAGTCTATTGGCCTAGTCATGGGGAGGGAAAGTAGACAGAACACTGGGTGGGTCTGGACATGCTGGAGTACACCAGGGCCACGGTCAGGTGGGGTAGGGTTGAAGTAAATAGCTGCTACCTGAGAGACCGGTGATGTCCATCTTCGGCAAGTGTCTGGCTTTGAGGACCACCACTGTCATCCTCTGTGCCACGGGCTGGTACGACAGAGACACCTGGAGTTCCCCTCTGCTAATGCATTTCTGCAAGGGAGAGACCTCAGATGAGAAGCCTGGAGGGCAGCAGGGGAGAAGGAAGAGCCTGCAGGAGGGCGTGCTGAGGGGCACGGAAGGGCGTGCTGAGGGGCACGGAAGGGTGTGTATTCAGGCCAGGTACAGAAGCATGGGAAGTCAGCCCGAGTTCTCAAAGCTACACTGGCTGATACAAATGTGACTCTGTGCCTTCTTTCTTTCTGTTGGTGGTCTTGGGAACTGAATTTCGAGCCTCCTGCATGCTAGGCTGGGATTCTACCCTTAGCTGGGCCTTTAGTCTCAGCAGTGCAGAAGCGGATGCAAGAGTTTGAGGCCGGCCTTGCCAGCCAGGGCTGCATAGTGAAATCCTGTCTCAAAGTGAAAGAAAATAAGAGAAAGAAAAAAAGAAAAGGAAAAAATTGTGTTGACCAAGCGGTAGTGTCACAATGCCTTAATCTCAGCACTTGGGAGGCAGAGTTAGGTGAGTCTCTGAGTTCAAGGTCAGCCTGGTCTAAAGAGCAAGTCTCAGAGCATCCAGGGCTACCCAGAGAAACCCGGTATTGACAGAGAAAGGGTTTACTGCCCCCTGCTCAGAGTGCTAGGTTAACAGTATACTGCCACACCTGCTCTTTTTTCTTTTCTTTTCTTTCTTTTTTTTTTTTAAGATTTATTTATTTATTATGTATGCAGCATTCCTTCCATGTATGCCTGCAGGCCAGAAGAGGGCACCAGGTCTCATTACAGATGGTTGTGAGCCACCATGTGGTTGCTGGGAATTGAACTCAGGATCTCTGGAAGAGCAGCCAGTGCTCTTAACCTCCGAGTCATTGCTCCAGCCCACCCCCCACTTTGTTTTTTTTGAGACAGGGTTTCTCTGTATAGCCCTGGCTGGCCTGAAATTCACTCTGTAGACCAGGCTGGCCTCAAACTCACAGAGATCCGCCTGTCTGTTTCCCGAGTGCTGGAATAAAGGTGTCACTACTACCGCCCGACTAGTTTACTATCTTTTTCTTTGTTTTCAATTCCATTTGTCTACGTGTGTGTGCGCACATTTGCATGTCATGATGCACATATAGAAGTCAGAGGACAGTTTGTAGGAGTCTTCTTTTCTTCTACCATGTAGTTTCACGGCATTAGCGCAGATCGCCTGCTTTGGAGGCAAGCTCCTTCACCACAGAAAGAAACATCATCACACCTTTTTCTCTTTCCTTTCTTTTTAGTTTTTGTTTCGTTTGTTTCTTTTCAAGACAGGGTTTCTCGCCGGGTGGTGGTGGCACAAGCCTTTATTCCCAGCACTACAGAGCTAGTTCCAGGAAGACAGCATTTCTCTGTGTAGCCTTGGCTGTTCTGGAACTCATTCTGTAGAACAGGCTGGCCTTGAACTCACAGAGATCCGCCTGCTTCCGCCTCTTTAGTACTGGAATTAAAGGCATGGCCACCACTGCCCAGCTTGCTGTTCCTCGTTCTAAAGCAGTGGCTCTTGCCCTTCCTAACACTGCAATCTTTTAATACAGTTCTGCATATTGTGGTGACCCCAACCATAAAATTATTTCATTGCTACTTCATAATTTTGCTGGTATGAATCATAATGTAAATATCCAATATGTGAGGATATCTGATATTTAAACCCCAAAGGGGTCACGAACCACAGATTGAGAACCACTGTTCTAAGTGGAGAAGTAGTTCTGGGGATTTAATTTGGGGCCTTGGCATTCTTGGCAAGCTACAGCTTCCACCTGCGGCTTTCAGCTTTTGGATTAGAAAAGAAAGTAGCCCCTCTGGGAACTACCTTCCGACACAGTCAGCTGCAGGTGTCTTCATTAGCTTCAACTCATTAGAATGAATTGAGGGCTGGAAAGACGGCTCAGAGGTCCCAGCATTCACATGGTGGCTCCAGCCATCCACAATCCCAGTTCCAGGGAACCTGACATCATCTTTCACTTCTGACTTCCACAGGCACCAGGCATACATACGGTGCACACACAGGCAAAACATCCAGACACACGTGTGTGTATATGTGTGTGTTCGTGTGTGTGTGTATGTGTGTGTGTGTACGTGTGTATGTATGCGTGTGTACGTGTGTGTATGTATGTGTATGTACGTGTGTGTGTGTGTATGTGTGTTTTTTTATTAGAAATCATTAGACAAGGAGCTGGAGAGTTAGCATGGGGGTTAAGAGCACTGGCTGCTTTAGCAGAGGACCTGGGTTCAATTTTCAGTACCCGAAAGGAGGCTTGTTGTGGAATATTACTTTAACTATGTAAAGGTGTGTTACATTTGTTTAAGCTGCCTTTGTTTAATTTTGTAAAGACGTGTTTCAGGACAACAAAGCCTGTTACACGGAGAAATCCTGTCTCAAAAAGTGTCCACTCCCTGCCTCCCCCTCCCGAGAAAAAGAGGTTCTGACGTACAGCGAGCACGACTAGCCAGCACATTAAGTAGAGACAATAAGTTATGTAAAAATGCCTGCCATAGTGCAGGCACCAGCTTCCAACAGCTGCAGCGGTTGAATGCAGCTCTCAGTTAAACATTTGAACAGGCTTAAGGCTCAGCTCTAACAGACCCAAGCAGGGCAGAGCCATCCGCCAGTGCAGTCACTTTGCGTTTAGGTATGGCGCATGCGGCTAGAAAAGGCTAGAGACAAGGAGTTAAGACAGGTCCAAGCCGGGCGGTGGTGGCGCACGCCTTTAATTCCAGCACTTGGGAGGCAGAGGCAGGTGGATCTCTGTGAGTTCGAGGCCAGCCTGGTCTACAAAGGGAGTTCCAGGACAGGCTCCAAAGCTACAAAGAAACCCTGTCTCGAAAAACCAAAAAAAAAAAAAAAAAAACCACAACACAGATGACATATATGCTGATCCATCTGCATGGGAACAACTCTGAGACTGGACAACAAATGTTATAACTAGTTTTCTTTTCCAAGAATTTGACCATTAATCTCAATTTCCTTGGGGTTCCCTGGAGATAACATAGCCCCCAGACAACAGAAAGCCGTCTAGAGAACATGACACCTACATTCCCAAGAGGTGGGGTAGGTGGGTTTTGGTCATTTGGCTGATTATGAATGTTTGTCATTGTTTAGTGGGGACATAGGTGTATAGGATAAAAAGGCATCTATTAACCTCAATATTTTACATTTGTATGGATTTTGATACAATTGATACAATTAAAAGTTATTTTTGTTTTACCATATAGATGTTTCTACACCTTTTTAAAATTTTTTATTATTATGCACATAATATTCTGCTTGTATGTATCCTTGCAGGCCAGAAGAGGGTACCAGATCTCACTACAAATGGTTGTGAGTCACCATGCGGTTACTGGGAATCAAACTCAGGTCCTCTGGAAGAGCGGCCAGTGCTCTTAACCTCTGAGCCATCTCTCCAGCCTATAAATGTAATTCTTACTTGATAATTGTTCTTACTGTATAGTGTTTTACTAATGTGAAAGTTAAAACCCTTCCTTTTCATTTAGATAAAAAGGAGGAGAGGCTCACGGATGTCTATAGCTGCAGTTCCTGGGGATCGGATGTCTTCATCTGGCACCCGAGAGCACGGCATGATCCAGTGCAAGAGTGTAGGCAAATGTTCACACGCGAAAGAAAGCTAAGGAACTCTCAAATGAAAGTAGAATGAGTTCCTGGTCATACTATGTAGTTCATGGTTCACTAGACAGTGCTTCATCCTGTATGGATGAAGACTTTGGCCCTGAGTACCTGTCATTTTAGCACTTGGGAAGCTAAAGCAGGAAGACTGGAGTTTGAGGTCAGCCTGGATACACAGCAAGATCCTGTCTCAAAGCCAACCAACCAAGGTGGGGGCGATGGTGACTCCCTGCCATCCCTGAATCTAGGATAAAGCAGGACAATCTGTTGCATGCTCATACCCTCAGACGGGCTGGAGAGATGGGGCAGTGGCCAAGTATATGCTCTGTTCTTTCAGAAGACCTGAGTGTGGTGCCCAGGACTCGTGTCAGGGGGCTCATGATCACGGGTAACTCTGATTCCAGGGGAACTGATACCCTCTTCTGGTCTCCTTAGCACTCACACAGAGGTATACATAAATAAATAGAAACAACATTGCCAAGTGGTAGTAGCACACATCTTAAATCCCAGCACTCAGGAGGCAGAGGCAGGTGGATCTCTGTGAGTTCGAGGTCAGTCTGGTTTGCAGAGAGTTCCAGGACTGCCAGAGCTACACAGAGAAACCCTGTCTTGAACCAAACAAATGCCGGGTGGTGGTGGTGCACGCCTTTAATCCTAGCACTCGGGAGGCAGAGGCAGGCAGATCTCTTTGAGTTCGAGGCCAGCCTGGTCTACAAGAGCTCAAAAAACTGTCTCTAAACTCCAAATACTGGGCTGGAGAGACAGCTCAGTGGAATAAAACACTTGCTGTTCTTATAGAAGACCTGGGTTTGGTCCCCAGCAGCCCCCATGTTGGCTCACAACCTCTGTAACTCTAGTTCTAGGGGATCCAAGGCTGTCTTTCACTCCTAGGGCACCAGATACACACGTGGTACACATAAACACATGTAGGCAAAACACTCATACATACACGTTTTTAAAAATGTAAACGGATACTTTCCTATCTAACACACACACACCAAAAAAATCAAAAAAATAAACAAAGAGGATTATGGCTTAGAGCCAAGCACATGCCTGTAACCTAGCTACTACAAAGCCTTAAGAGGGAAGATGGCAAATTTGAACCTAGATCTGGTAACTTGGGGGAGACCCTTTCTTAAGCCAAACCCCAAAGCCCTGAAAGCAATCCACGAGTTTCTTCCTTAAAGCTGTTCCCCAGATAATCTGTTCTTGCAGAGTCACCCGAAATCAAAATCCCTGCGCCCCATCCCTAGTTCTTTGGGAAAACAGACAACTTCTCGTTTTCTCCCCTAAATCATTCTCCCCTGACCTCCTCTCTCACCTCTGGCAGAACACCCACCCCCATTCAGCAGCCTTTGTGCTCCCCAAGCCTGCAGCCACAACACTACCTAAATGCAGCTCTGCTCCCGCG